GCAGGGGCCATCACTCACAGATCCACTGTGGCAATTTCATAACCAGCCTGAAGGGGATCAAACAAAGGTATCAGGTTTCCTCTGAAGCCTGTGGGAATGTTTATGGTAAAGGTAGGATTTTTAAGAGTTATTTAAATTATGGCCAAAGTTTGATCAGATGATGGAATGTTCTGGAATTTGACACAGCTTGGGAGACTTAGTATCGAGGAATTGAAAGGAACTTTGCACAGGTAACACATAAAAGTAGAAAGTTATATCAGCAATTAATGTATTTCTACTGCTGTAGTGGTAAATGTTTAACAATCAGCTCTCCCACCCCGCAGCCCCACCCCCCCAAAAAAAGCCAAAGCCCTGATTTATATAGGTTTTTATACTTCTATGATTATAAATAACCCACCATGGCAGATTTCAGATTTTAAGCTACCAACGTGATGTCACTCAAAGCAGAGCTGGAAAAATGATGTGTGTAATCGACAGAATCAGCTCTCAACAGCCAGCACATACCAGCTCCAGCATACCACTGTTTCTTTTCATAAATTGCTGGACTTGGATAATTGAGGGAATGTTGTACTCAGTGAAATCCACTAAGTATCCAGAGTCTAGAATTAATACAACATTTTGAAGGCAAGATGTTTTGTTTTCTTCTCCTAGGTTAAATGCCATGTTAAAGGCTCACTCATGTGGTATTTATTACACGTTGGAACACGCACAATAAAGAATTGCAAACTTTGCCAGAAACTCAAGAGGTCATCCTCTGGGCAGTCAACGCAAACCACCTCAGAGAGACAGTTGCGCGTTTGGGGCTGAATGATCCTAGAGAGGGATTCCATAGGATTCCATGATAGATAGCCGTGATTAGGTCTGCACTTACATAATGTGAAAAATCAAGAAGGGATAATCCTAATTCCTTCCACTTGCACAGGACTTGGTGGCTTATAAAGGGCTTTCTGCAGGATGGTAAAATCTCTTATATCCAGTGTCTAGTGCTCGTTAAGACAGATTGCTAGGTGGTAAACTCAGGTTTCTAGGTCACTTGTGTTCACATGACTGACTTGTAGTGCATCTCTCCAGTTCTCTGCCCAGTGGAGACCTCATGAGCCACTACCAGGAGGCCAAAGCGACATTTTTGTGAGGTCTGGCTATGGGCCAAGCCTGTATTAAGCACTTTCTTTACAATGTCTCTGAAGCCACTCAACAACCCTATGAAGTATTTCCTATTATTTTCTTCCAACGTTGCAAATACAGAGGCTAGAGATGTTAAATTACTTGCCAAAGGTCATGAAATTCATAAACGCCTGAGCTGGGACAAAAAATCAGTACTGTCTGACACCTAAAGCCTATATTAAGAATCTCTAGACTGGCTTAGGTAGGTCAAAGGTTTTAATAAAATTGTAGATATTTAATGTGCTAATTGGACAGCATGACCTGCAAGTAGTTTCCAATGTAGGCAGGGCTAAGTTAACTGGGCTAGGGGTATGTGAGAGCATTGGGGACACATAATAAAGGTGATGAAAGAAAGAATGTGTTCCCGTGCTGTCATGCTAGATTGTGTGACTTAAGAAGGCTGTGTATTTGTAATTGCCCTTTTCTGTGTAAAGCACAAGCCTGAATTAGGCCAGCCTTTCAGAGCATCCTCTGCTGCCCCTTTTGTAGTCTGTGGCCCCCTTTCTATAAATTGTAAACTAGATACTAAGTTCCATGATGGCAGAGACGACTGTACATCTTCAGCACTGATGTTGCTGAATCTTTAGTCCTATCCCAGTGGCTGACATGGTAGGTACTTAAATATTTGTTCCATAGTACTGGTGGTGATGATAGCAAATACTCAACAAGTGATTGCAGTATATTCTTTCCAAGTATTATCTCATTTAATCCTCATAATAACTCCATTAACTTCTTTTTCCCCCTTATTTATAGATTTAAAAATAACATGGCTTGGGACATCTTGTAACTTACTCAAGGACATAATAATAAGTGGCAGAAAATCAGCTTTGCTTGATATCAATCTTGACACTTAACATTATGCTCTGGTCTGTTAATTTATAATGTATTTGTTGTATCTCTAAGAAAGCTCATATTACTAAAATCAGATGATAGAATTTCAGTTCTGCGAAGAAAGGGACTCTGTTTTGTTTTAACTGTATCCCAGCACCTACAATAACTCTTGTCATATATTAAGTGCTCAGTAAATATTTTTGGTGCATATGTATGCAGGAATGGGTAGGACAGTTATTTCAATAGGAATAGGAGTTACAAGCTGGAAATTTACTGGCTTACATCACACTTTGTTGTTGGGTTTTGGGGGGCAAGAATTTAAATAAAGGTAGAGCTTTAAGACCTAAATATCACTGAACAAATTCAGTAATTTACTCATTCGTCTACGAAATATTTATCTCCATTCAGTCAATATAATTGAGCATCTACTAAGTGCCAGACTCTTAACAGCAGAGATATAGTGGAATGGTTGACAATTATAAGTAAACAAATATTACAAAAGGCAAATGTTCCATGAAGAAGGAAAAAAAAAAAAAAGATGTTAAGACAAAATACCAGGAGCAGGGACTCTGGGGAGGCCAGGGAATGCCTCACTGAAGTAGGGACAGTTCAGCTGTGATGCTGAAGAATGCCAGGAACACGAGGAAGGGGCACGGGGAATGAATGGCATGTGCAAATGCCAAAAGCTTTTGGAAAGAACTTGACACATTGGAGGAACAGAAAGAAGGTCAGAGAGTCTTCTTAGAAATGGTCTGTGGAGTCCTCTTACAACTACAGGATTGCACAGGGCTTCCTTCACTCCCTGACCTCCTTTACTGCACATCGTTGTGTTAAGGAACAAAGCCAACAGCTGTATTTTTCTTGGTTTTGGTTGGAGGGGATGGTTCCCTGCTGCCCATAGCAGAAAAGCGTGGTTCACAAAATAGAAACCTTGGAATCTACTTAATCTACTTAATGGAGAGCCATCTAATTTGCCTTCTCACAACTTGTGTCTTAGGAAAATATTGCCTATACTGTTGAATAAAATAAATGCAGGAAGAATTTTGTAGGAAACAGGAAAGGGAAAATTTAGTAAACCCAGAGGCTTGATCTCTGGAGGGGACATTTCTCCCATTGCTTACAGTGGAAAATTCCTCAAGCACAGCCTGGCTAACGAGACTGGGCCTTCCTGATTCATCTTGCAACTCTGTTCCAATCTAGCCCACATTCTAGAAAGATATGGGTGAGAATGTCCCAAATAGTACTCCAAGGTCTCCAGTGGCAACGTAAGGTCATTTCAACTCGAAGCAAGATGTCTTCTCACTGCTTTAAGATGAACTTAGCTTTTCTCCCCTTTCCCCTTCCCCCCCGCCTTGTGCCTACCTGTAAGAGAAGCTGGACTATGTAACTACAGATGAGCTGACCTCTGGAGCCTTGGTGATGGATACAGCTCATCATGTGAAGAAACAGCCATGGCAACTGGAGCTGAAGTGGATTAAATCAGCTTGCACCAGTCTTCATCTGTTCCTGGAATTTCATATGTGAATTTGGCACAAATAGTCAAACAAGTAGGAGAGACTTAACCAACCGATGAGAATAAAATGGAATCTACTGTAAGATGAACTTCCCCGCCCCAAACTATATCAAAGAATATTTCTCCTCTCTTCTCCCAGAGATATGCGGTTGCTTTCTGGAGATGAGGACAATGCCATTTTCCACCTGCCAGAAGCATCTGTTCTTCATGGAAATCTAATGGCAATTCCCAACCTCAGTTAAGGACTTGTTTTCCCATTTTTTTTTTTTTCTTTGACTTCAAATACTTTCTAAATTGTGTTAGCCGAAGCATTGTATGTATATAATTAACTCAAAGGTCCCTCTGGGCTCATCCAGCTAAACTGGTGGAGCTTAACTGAGCAAAACATTCGCTGATGTCTCTCCCGATGTCTCTCCCTGCAGTGACACCCACTGAAATGAATGCCTTCTGCAACAGGAAATCGGGGACATTTCTTTTCCAAACTGGCTTTCTAGTGATTTGGGTTGCTTCAGAAATGATTGTAGTTGTTTCATAACAATAACGATCTCATTTTCTTTCAAATATGGAACTTGCGATTTGCGATTCGGGAAAAATTGGGGTTGCGGTGGGATTCTGTATTTTCCTCCTAGTTGAAGTAGGAAGACAGGCCTCTTTCTGGTGTTCACTGGATCTTTGAAATTCCCTCAGGGAAGCAGTGGCGCTCTGCTTGGCACAGGGCTCCAAGGCGCAGGGCTCCACTGTACCTTTCACGTGGAAAGCAAATGTCAGCGGTTCCTGCAGTGCTGTGTCTTCACAAGCAAAACCCGCAGGGGGGCCTGGAGCTGTTTGTCCAAAACTAAGTGCAAAGGGCTAGGGAACGTGGACTTTTTCGGACTGACTATGTTGACAAGATTCATAACTCAGCCCTCTTCCTCCCTCTGCCAGTGTAGACGCAGACGCCTACAGGCATAAGAGGTTTTTGACTCTGTTTGAAAGGGAGAGGTCAGGTGTGATCCGCAGAAGAGTTCTGGCCGCAGCTCCCCGATCTATTCCTAGAGCAGAGAGGGTTTAAGCTAGGCTATGAGCATTCTCTCCTCTCTGTGTGAGGCTTCGATCCCCAGGCCTCGCCCTTGAACTTCATCCAGAGACCACATGCATTATGGAAGGGTGAGCAAAAGGGACCGCGATGTAGACTTCCTGCCTACCCAAGGGAACCTACTTCTCTTTGCGGTCCTGGAGCACAGGTGTCCGGAGAAAGGCAGCGAGCTAGGGACTCTGGGTGCTGGAGTAAACGCCGCCCTGAGCTGCGTGGCGCTAGGGGGAGGGAGGTTGGAAGAGCGCGTCTACGCTTTTCACGTCAACCTGCAAGCTAGCTGCTCGCTGCCCAGTTGCGGGTTCGCGGCTGCGTGCGCCCCACTGCAGCAGGGAGCAGCCGCAGCCTCGTCCTCGGCCACCACCGCTGCTGGGGAAGAGTCCTGGGGCTGCTGACGCGGTTGGGAGGAGCCTCGCCTTTAATGCACCAGCCGCCTCCAGCCTCCTCCTGCAGCAGCAGCGGCAGCTGCGAGTGCGCGCGTGTGGGTGTGAGGCTGAGTGCGCTGGCGCCGGCTGCAGCGCCCTGCCCGGCTCCCCGCCGGCTGCCGAGGCCCCGCCAGCTCGAGCCGCCCTCCCGTGGGACCAGCACCCTCATCCGGGCCGGGCCCGCCTGAATCCTGACCCTGCCATCTCGCCACTGCAGCTCGGGTCCGGAAAGGCACCATTTTGTCGCGGCTGCCCGCTCTCCCAGGGGGAGGAGGGATCGTTTTTGCATTTCGGAGCGGCTGCCAACGAAGGGAACCTGTTGGGCATCTCCCCAGCCCCGCTTGTGAGCGCCTCCGGGGCGGCGGGCGGGACCAGACCCCTCGGGGCACGGCGCATCTTGGCACCCGGAGGCAGCGGAGGCAGGCGCAGCATCCTCGCCGGGAATTGGAGCTGGAGTGAGCGCACCGCGGGAGGAGCCGCCGCAGCCTCGGAGATCCCGGGCGGAGGAGGTGACAGCTCCATTGCCGGGTTTTTATTTTTTTTCTCTCTCCGCCTCCCCGTCTCCTCCTCAGGCTCGGACCATGGTGCAGTCCCACTGGCTCCCCTGCCCCCCTCTCCTGTGAGACTGGCTGCGGGGAGGGATCATGGATACTTGTCTGCCGGCTTCTGGTTCCCACGCAAGTAAGCCTGCTGTCAATGGAGGAGGACATTGATACCCGCAAAATCAACAACAGTTTCCTGCGCGACCACAGCTATGCGACCGAAGGTAACGCCAGCCCCGCCGCATTCCGCCGCTGGGGAAGGGCGCAAGTTGCGGATCGCTGAGCTCCGCGGGCAGCCGGGCGAGTAGCGGCGGAGACTCCTGCGGGCCCCGGGGCTGGGGCGGGGGCTCGGCTCGCAGGGGCAGCTGCCGGTGCGCCCCACATCCATCCGGGCTCCGCGAGGCGAGCCGGGCGTTCAGCAGCAGGTGGACCCGGCGCCCACGGGAGTTAAAATGGCCCTCGGGGATGAGGTTTTTCAGGGTGGGGCTCCCGGCTGGAAAAATGACCCCCCAAAGACAGATGACCCCTTCCCCCAATATGTATGCAGGGGTCGGGGTGAGGGGAGAGATAAGAAGGAAGGGGGCCCGAGAGGACCGTGGGTCCTCCCCTCTCCGAGCGGAATGATGTGTCTCTCAGTGGCTGCAAGGGTGGGCATGGTTTCATTTCCTGCCCGTTCATCTCTCCGGCCGGGTTACCTGCTTAGACAATCAAAAGCCCAAAAGGCCCGTTGAAAAAGGGCGAACCCCTCTCCCCTTGGAAGTGCATTAGCAAGATATAAAAAGGTGGCTGGGGAAACAGTGCTGGGGCGGCGAGCAAATGAGTGTGACACGTGGGGCGAGCAACGCGATCAGTGGGGCCTTTAAAAATCACCATTATGAATTCTGCAGCAGTAGTTTCTGCTGAATCAACAGCCAGCAGAAAGCAAGATGGGAAAACTGGACAGCTACATGGAAAAGAATGAAATTAGAACACTCCCTAACACCATACACAAAAATAAACTCAAAATGGATTAAAGCCCTAAAGGTTAGACTGGACACTATAAAACTCTTAGAGGAAAACATAGGCAGAACACTCCCACCCCCCAGATTGTTCTGACATTAGCCTGAGTGAGGTGCAGGCAGGAAAGAAAAGTCAGCAGGTGGAATCTCATTGGCCTTTTGTGTGGGAATAGAGAGAGGAGGCTTTTGTTTGTTTGTTTCTAAATACCAAAACTTTTGCATTTTTGCTTTCATTTTGTACCTGTCAGCCTTTATCCTTAACCACTCCTATAAAGTGTTGCATTGTCACATTGTGATAGCCACATGAGAAAATATGTGTGAAAGTGCTTTAGGAAAATTTAGCAAGGCATGTTAATTTAAGATTTTTCTTATTCTTGGGTGCTAAAATTTCTGTAATATTTAATCAAATCACGACTATTAGAGAAATGTGATGGGCGTGGTGGTAGTAAGAGTTCAAGTTCTGAAAGATAAAAAGACACACAATTTGGGGGTAAAGGTGGCATCTTCTATAGACATCCCTGGAACTTTTAGATAGAAAGAATGCCCAGCGCTATTGAAAATACATGCTTCGTTCATCATCATTATTAGAGAGCATCACACCTAATACGTCCGTGGCGCTACACAGATCAAGCAGAGCTTTATGAGCTCTGGCCTTCAGGAGCTTAGAAGTGGCTTTTAAGATGTTCAGCAGCCTGTCCCTACCCCATACCAAGCACCATACTTGCTGATTCTTTTTACTTGCCTGGTGACAACGTGGTGGTAAGATGTTCTTCCCCATTCTTAGTGCTTTGTCACTGACTCACCAGGTAGAATATGGTCAGCTCTGGGTCACAGCATATCATCCAAAAGAGAAGTTGGCTTTCGGGTCTATTGTCCTTGGGGCCCCCCTTTTTTTTTTTTTTTTTTTTTTTTTGAGACAACAAAGATAGAGGGCTGCCTTCATGTTTTCTTCTGTATTGCATTATGCCTCCAAGTGCAGGCAAAGGAAACTTACTGAGCTGGGAAGATGGGGAAATTGAGGCCATGTGCGTAGCACTGTCATCTGTAGAATGAAGAAATGAGTTAAACACGGCATTCCTTATCGCTTTCAGGGCCCTAGATACTACCTAATCTTTGTTCCTATTTGATGACATTTTTGTAACCTCGGGTTCTGAATAAAATATCTGGGTTCATATAGTCTGAAATGAGGCATGAGTTTATAGCAAAGAACTTTCTAAAAATTTTTCCAAATCAGCCTCTTAGGATTCCGCCCCCCACCCCCCAACTGCCACCACATTGAAAATTTAAACAAACCTTTATTTCACAGTATGCTTCCAGGTTTCTTTACCTGATCTTAGTGAAGGTCTGGGAAGGAAAAAAAAAAAAAAAAATGGAACTTAGACAATGTAAATTGCCTTTTTACATGCAATCCCTAATTGCATTTTAGGGAACATTGACCTGGCCAGAGGGGGAAGTGTCCTTCTGATGATGATGAATTACCTTCAAAGTGCTAGTACACCTTGAAGGAACCCCACTAGATCAAAATATTCTTTGTTAAAATCGTCTTCATTGGGGGCTTGCCACAAAGTTCTCTTCCCTTTATTAACTTAAACCACCCTCTGGAGAATTAATTTCTTGGTCCTTCTATAGACTTTGCTTTTCTTTTTGCCTCCTTTGATATTTTTGCATTTTCCTCCCTTGCCCAGATATGGCAGATTTTTTTTTTTTGCAAAATCTCCTTCGCATTTATCTCTGAATTTTTCTTCCCTTTGCTCGGATCATTCCACACTGCAGTATTCTATTTAAAGCTGGAAGGTTTTTGCTGTGTAGTTAGTGTGAGGGACTCTAAGCTCAATTTGCATTGTAAGTGGTATCTGCAGGCAAGTTCATCCGGGTAAGAGCAATGCAGATGCTAAAGGACACTTTTTCCCAAGCTCCTCCCTCTCTCTCTCTCTCTCTGATGGGAAAAGAATGCATGACGTGCATTTATTAAAAACATTTCTTATAACTTTTCTTTTATTCTGAGTATTAAGTGACCACCCTCCCCTACATTTTCCTATCTTTTCCTCCCTTTCTTAAAGTTACCATCTTTGAGTAGCTTCTCTTTTCCAAGCCCTGTACTGAGGTTTCTGTAAGTAGCATTTGAATATGTCCATCCCCTGCTAAGTGGATCTTGTTATTTCCATTTTCAAATAAGGAAACTGAGCAACTGAGGCCCAGGGATGATACTCATTTGTCAAGGTCACACAGACAGGGGAAAAGCTTGTCTTCAAACTCAAGACTGGCTGACATGCTCTTCTACTAGGAAATTCTGCTCTGCTTCATTTTTCTTTAACTCTTAGTTCCTGTTATGGGGAAGATCACAGTGGTTTATCTTTGTGTGTAAACGGTGCTCCCATCTGAGGAAAAATTCTTTGCAGGGATCAAAGTGTGTGTTTGGGTTTAATACCTGAGGAAAAGCATTGGTAGGGTTGGCTTTCTATATTTTTAGACTTGTTAGACCCAACTAAAACCCCCTCTCCCTTAGAGCAGTCTGAGAGTTTTCTAGATTAATCTTTCTACCCTCATATGGGGCACAGTCAAAATAAATATTCTACGTAGGTGGACTTTACAGGAATGGCAATCTGGTTAGAAGAGGAAGTCAGAGAACTTATTGTTTAAAAATAACTATTCTGTTCTCAGTTTCCTTAGCTTTAAAATGGGAATAACATTAGAACCTATGCCACAGGAAAAAAGACTATCTAATGCGGGAAAAGCACTCAACACAGTGCCTAATACAAAGCCAGTCCTCGATAAATGCCCTCAGTACATTATAGCCGTTGTTAGTATTACTGAAACTGCATTTGCAGTGCAAGCACCCTGGTTTTCCTTGGATCGTTGTTGATTTGGGATGATCTTGAGGGAAGCGCTAGTGGAAATGGGAGAGAAGTCCCTGAGACCCGCCACAGTCTCTTTCTTGACTCAGCCACTAGCCACAGATCTTGCCACTTGGCAGTCTGCCTTAATGTACTTGCTGGTTATATTCTGGCAGTGAGTAAGTTCCATCTTCACTTAGAGGCCTTAAAAAACCCATACTGCTTGTACATATTAAAAGAAGAACAAATTCACTTAGTCCATGTATTGTTATTATATTAATATGATATTATTATTATGTAACTATTGATTCCTTCTGCCTTTAATTCCTTCAACAACTATTAACTAACTCTCTGTGGGGGTGATCCTGCACGCTCCGGTACAGACATTGTGTCTGTTCTCATGGAGCTTTTGGGCTGGTGGAGAAAGTAGACATTTAACAAATGATTTTGCAAAAAAAATACACAGCTACCAACTGTGACAAGCGATATTCAGGAAGAGCACAAGACGCCTTGAGATTATGTGTAAGGCAGAAAGGCGAATCGAATTTAGACTGGGGGTTCAGTGACTGCCTCTCAGACAGAGTTGAAGCTGAAAACCAAAGGATGAGTCAGGAATTAACAAGAGCTGAAGACATTTCAGGTAGAAGGCAATAGGTCCAAAGCACAGAGATTAGGGTTAAGTGTCGGGAACAGCAAGAAGAGTGACAAAAATGAGTGACAAAAATGAGACTGGAGCCTACAGTTTACTTTGGAATGGACCAAAACCAAGAAGAATCAATACTAGGAGAGAAGGGTGGATAAATGGATAGATAGATGATAAAGCAAGTATAAAATGTTAATGGTGGAATCCAGGTGGTTGGTCAATGTATATTCACTGTAATTTTTTTTCAACTTGACTGTTCATTTGAAAATGTTTGTAATAAAATGTTACAAAAAAGAAACTGGAGAGGTATTTCGGGACCGGATTGTGTTGAGCGTTGTTGGCCTTAAGGAGTTTGGACCTTATCCAAAGATGGATCGAAAGCCATTAAAAGATTTTGATCGGGGAGAAATATGATCAGGTTTGTTTTTTTCAAAACTCAGGCTGGTTGCTATGTAGGGTGGGGTCAGAGGGGTGGGTAGGAAGTGAATAGGGGTGAAAGTAGGGGGATAGTTAGGCCACGGCTGTCCCCTAGGATGGTGGCAGCAACAGAGGTGGAGAGAATTTGATGGATTCGAGATACATTGTAGGAGAATGGATAGGGCTGAGTTGGTGTGATAAACTGGGTGGAGATGGATAAGTAGATGGAGATGGGGTCAAGGATGACCTCCCAGGATTTTGCCATAAGAATGGATGCATAGTGGGTCTTTCCACTGAAACTGGAGTCATCTAGCCTCACGGTGAGACTCAAG